CCCTTTCTGAGGTCTCTTCAAATCCCTTAGCTTGAGGCTTTAGGGCTCTTGGAGCATTTGGAGGGGATTCTCCCTTCCTGGGCTGCTCAATTACAGTGGTTGCTGTCCCTCGTATTCCTCACCATTATATATTTTATATTGCTAGTGGCCTGAACTATAAGGGAGAATGGATGGAGAGAGATGGAGCTAACTTCTCTACTTGCTGACTCCATTTGATGTCTAACGATGTCTCAAACTTAAGATCCAAAACGCAGCTCTTGATTTCTTCCCCCACCTTTGACTTGTTCCTCCCCTCGCCCTTCCCATCTCAGAAAATGGCACCACCAGGCAGGTTCTTTTGACTTTACCTCTAAAATACCTTGAATCCGCCCATTTCTCTCCACCTGTCCTACCTCTTAGGCTAGGTCTCGACCTCATCTCCCCGGCCTACGGTAGTAACATCCTTCAATTGCTCTGCACTTTCTCTCTGGTCCATCTTGTCCCTTCGCCACGTGAAAGGACACACCATTTTAAAATGAAAAGCTAAATTATGTCACTCTCCTGCTTAAAACCCTTCCGGGGGTTCTCGCTGTCATTAGAATGCCAGTCTGACTTGGACCGCAGGCAAAAAAGGCTTCTTAAATACAGCCATGTTTTCTTCTCTACCTTCACCCCAAGCTCATCTTATAAAGGACCTTACTGAAGGCCCCAAGAAATAGCCAACACCATACCAACATCCTGGGTTTGTTTGATTTTTTTCCCCTTTTTTAAACATCCAATTCAATGGTTCTTTGGATTTTTTTTTTAAGTAATCATTTTACTAATGATACATTTTCCTAATCTGGACCCATCCATGGTAATCAGTTGTTTCACACTACCTAACAAAGGGACATTGGCTTCCTAACCTAAGTCGTAGGGACCTTACTACCCTCTGTCCTACCTCCTCTGCTCAGCAGTTCCCCATTTTAGGGTCTGTTATAATATTCCCACTTGTAATGACCAAATTCAGCATCAGGACGTTTTGGGCTCTGAGTAACCCAAAACAGAAACAGGCATTGAATGGAAAATGTTATGCTTCCACCTTGGAGTGCAGAGCAGGGCAGGCTGTAGGGTGGCGACACCCACTGCTCAGCATGGTGGTTAGGAAGCCAGGTTTGTTTGCCTCTCTGCCATCGTTAGTGACAGCTTTGCCCCAGGCTGGCTTCTCTGCACCGAGCTGTTTGCTCGCTGTTTGCAGCGGTTCCAGGCAGTGTGTCCACATGCAGCGCTGTCAGAGAAGAAAGCCTGCCTTCTGTGTCTCTTAGGAGCAAAGAAACCTTTTCCAGAAGCTTCCCTGGCAGGCGCACCTTTCAGTGAGCAGAGCTGGGTCACTTCACTTGCCGATTCCTAAGCCAATCACTCGCAAAAAGGATGGTTTCAAATAACCAGGGTTTCCTTTCCTGGAGCTTGAGATGGTGTCAGCTTCTTAGGCATATGGCCCTATGGAAGAGAATACATACGTAAAATGTTGGGGCTCATTGGAGAAGAAAGAAGAGGAATAGGCAGCCACCAGTAGCAGTTATCCAGCACACAAATAGATCTCATTTAAGGAATGAATTTAGCGCTTATTAAGTGCCTCCGACATGGTAGACACTTAGGACGCTATATACATTATTTCATTCAGCCGTCACAGCAAGCCTGGAGAAGCAGTCTCTAGAGTGAGTGACCGGACTTGGACAGCTGTGCTCTAGCACATAGAATAGAGCTTGTGTTAAAACTCGCCAAACCCATGGTATTTCCACTACCACCATGTAACAGGTGGAGCTAGAACCCTTCAAAACAGCCCCACATTAATTAAAAACAAGCATCGGAGGCATTCAGATGTTCTTAGTCATGACACTCTTCAAATCAAATTTTACTCTCCATTAAAGAGTGTGGCTGCTGTAATTAGACAGGACTAGGGTGGCACCCAGAGTTCTTTCTAAGCCCCCTCCCGGGTAGCCCCAAGGTGCTCCTGGAGCCTCTAAGGCTTCTTGGCACATGCTGAAGGCACCATCAGCCATGTACAGCCCAGGTAATCCTGAGTCACTGGGTCCTAGAGCAACTTTGGCGCCCTGATCAGGTTGATCTCAAAGGGGATTTTGAAGATTACATGCTTGTTCTGTAATTAGTGCTTTGGTTCTCTGCCCAGAGAAGTGATTTAACAGCCCTGGAACTTAGATAACCATCTAAGCTCATGGTGATGACATTAATCAGAACAGGGATGTTGAGGCAAGACCATGGTTCTGTCGATTGCATTCAGTCCCTGCAAGACCTTTGCTCTTTAAGGCTCCTTTTGTTTTAGTTTGTTTAACTTCTAGTTACTGGGCATTCCTCCTGGAACCCCAGCTAATATTATATATAACCCCAGGGGATTATAAGAGAAGCATGATGCTTCACAGTATGACCTCTGCTTCGTCTCTCAGCCCTTCCAACTGCCTTGCTCTTTTCTGAACTTATCACTTGCATTCTTACCCATGTCTTTGCCTATGTCATTCCCCCTGTTCAGAATCCTCCCTTCCTGTGTCTATTTATTAAATCACAGCCATCCTTCAACTCAAATCTCATTACGTCTAAAATATTCCTCAAATATGCAGGTCAATAAAATGCAGCAGAGGCAATTTGTGCCAGTTCCGGTCCTAGCCTTTAGGGGGCTTGAGTTTCTTTGTTTAGTCACCGTGTAAGCAGCCTGACTACCCTGAGGACACCATACTGGGAGGAAGTCCAAGCTAGCCACGTGGAGAGTCTCACGTAGAGGAGTGCTGAGGCACCAGACAGGCGAGTGAAAGCTTCTTAGACCTTCCAGCACTGCCCAGCCACTAACTGAATACAGCCGAGTGAGTGACCCTAGTTGATACCACATAAAACCGAACTTCCTGGCTGAGCCTGGTGGGCCCCGAAGATAATAACCAGTGGTGGTTTGTTATGTAGCGAAAGGGCCGGCCGAGTGGCTCAGCTGGTTAAGAGCTTGCTCAAGAGTGTGAACTTTGAGCAACAGCGGTTTGATTCCCGGCCTGAGCTGAGCTGCCGCTGAGCTGCCAGCAGGCGACAGAATGGCTCAGCTAAAAAAAGAAAAAAAAAGTGATATGTAGCGACAGGTAACTGGAGCACCTAGCATCATAGCAGGTCAGTTGGCAGGACTCTTCCCAGGTTGGCCGAGTCTCAGACTTTCGGGTAGGATGAGAAAGTGATTATTTTGGAGATCTCTGGCAGGCAGCCTACTGGTATGGGGGTGAAGTGGAGTGATAGGAAGGAGGCTCTGATGCAAGAGAAGAGGTGCATCTCAGATCCCTACATACTGTGTACCTGCCCTTCCAGCGTAGGTAGTTCCTGCTCTCCATGCACTCTTGTTTACTTTCAGGTCACATTGTGCCTTCCCAAGCCAAACCCTCTGGTCAATTACTATTTGTATGTAAAAATGGAGGACAGATGTAGAACTTGAGGCGGTGCTTGGAACTGTCAAACAAGCATGGGGAGATGGGATGCAGAAAGACAAGTGGCCGAGTACCCCCAAACCTCACCTCCTTTATTGCTTTGCCTGACAACAGGCTACCCCATCTCAGATGAGTTTGCCATACTTTGGTTAGGAAGCTTTTAATTGATTGATCTAGCATCTGTTAATCACTTTCAGGGCACCGCATCAGTCTCTGAGAATTCAAAGATGAAAACACAGTTCTTACTTTTAAGATGTTCATCGCTACCTGATGGATAAATTCTGGGGCCATGGTATGTTTGGGCATTGTAGAGGTTACTTAATCATTTCCCTAGAAGGACTATATCACCTGCTGCACCTGGTGAGAAAATTCCTTTTACCCCTTTAGGTCTTTAAAAAATTCCTGATTTGTTTATTTATCCAACCCACCACACCTTCCATGGTGCCTTCACACCTCAACTCAACCCAACCCTGCTTGCTTCCGTGTCTAGATCTAATTTTCTAGATCTGATTTTTGTCGTGTAATTCACTGAGCTTGAACTTGGTTGGTGACTAATGGATCACAGTCTTCTTCTGTGGTGGACCCAAATCAGTGATTTCAAAGGTCCAGAATGGGCCCCCAGAAGTCATCATATCACTCACTTTTCCAAAGACGATGGTGTATTCAAGCCACAAATCTATGAACTAGCCCTGTGACTTAGCCCTCTGATACTCCATAGAAACCTTTCAAAATTTGGTTCCACTAAACATGTCCCCAATTTTCTGTGTTGTTGTGTTTTCTCTCTTCACAAATTAGTTTTAAAAATAACAAGGGTCAAACTATTGGGTTGTCGGAAAAGTCATGACGCATTTTTGCAATGAAAAACAGAAAGAATACATCATGACTTTTCTGACAACCCAATGTTAAAACTTGTTAGAAATTCAAGCTGGATCCAGCTAATGGTAAACTCTAGAAACTTAGGGGCAGGCAGCTGAAGAAAGAAGCAAAGAGTTTAAATAATCAGGCAGGTATAATATAAATAATCTTAATATAATATAAATAATCTAGGATAATCAAGGCATTAAGGCCAATAGTGAATTAAATGGCACAGCTCACATGTTAGCAATGAGTTTTTCGACTTAATTGAGAAAGATATTTGCAGATAGTGAAAATGGTATGGTTCTAAAATTCCCATCAGCAGCCATTTATTTTCCTACCTTTTGCTTTTGATGAAACCATGTAAATTGATGATATGAAGACGTTAATAAGGAATGGCACTTGGAGAGCTTCCCGCAGTGTGTGAATTGGTTGCTGTCTGTGCCCCATCTCCCAAAAGCTTGCATTGGCTGCCTGGCTACCCCTGGCTGTGTGATGAGGCAGTTGATAGCTAGTTTATAGTCAGGATCCTTCCTCTTCCACCTCCCACATCCTAAATGCTGTTCAAACTCTGGCATTAATTGAGCCATGTGGGTACGTAAGTCAACTTCTCCAAGCCTCAATTTTCTCATCTATAAAATGAGGAAGTAGCATTAGGCCCATGATTTTATTTTTAAAATGTTATAAACAGAAAAAAAAAAAAAAGAAAGCAAGCGAGCGAGCAAGCAATGCAGGGCAAGAGACTGTGTGTATGTACCAAGTATACCTGGGCCATAACCTCCCCCTTTTTGCTTTTCACATGGAAATCCTATTAGAAATTCTCCAAAATTGATCTGATCTGGATTTCGGCAAGATTTTTTTCTCCTTTTGAAAAAGCTGAACTCAACCACTTGGGACTGCATTCCCACTCTTTCTCCTCTTTTTTTCTTTATATACATTTCTTCTCAATGATTCTTTTAGGACAGTTTTTAATTGAAAATAGACATTTTATTTTGTTTATACAAGGCACAATTTCAAAATACAAGTCTTATAATATGTAGATGCATTAGACAAGGAAGTATAAATATAAATGCATGCATGTATGGAAAAAGTCACTGAGTTCAGTTTTTCTGAATCCTTACATCGAGAAGATTCATTGGGCACGGTATCCCTTTGCTCCCTTTTCAGTGCAGGCAGAGCACCTAGCGGGAGAGAGTTTTAGGAGCTGAAATGCTGATGACATCCTTGTAGGCATCTCCTGAGGCAGGAGGAGCCTAGTAATTCACTTAGAGCCTCAGGTTTACTTCTTTTCTTTGTAAACTGCAAGTCAGGATGAGGAACGGAAGAGTCAATCTGATAAGCTATCCTGAATAAATGTCTTAATGGAATAAAAGCCCTGATAAGAAGACCTGAGGCCCTCAATGCTGGCACTTTGGGATCAGTCCTACACCTGAGATGGGGCAGGGCAGGCAGTGAGCTTCTATCCTAGTCCAGGAGAACCTGCTCAGAGACGGCGCCTAGGCTTGGCACAGTTGATAAGGTGATGCCAGGACATTCTATCATCCTGGTGGGCTTTACCCCGGCACCCAATTCCTTGAGTCTTTTCTAGGTCCCCTTTGGCCAGAGCAAAGTTGGCGCCTTTGCTCTAGGCTTGCTGGCCCCAGGTTTCCCTGGAGTTTCCTAGGCCGTGGGTTAGTTTTCTGTGTCCTCTCTGCCATTGGTTCTCCCAGTCATCGGCATATCTTCCATATTTTCCATTTCAACACTGGGTCTTCTGGGAGTTTGCCTGTAAAGCAGATAATTCATAGGTTTTGAAAAGAAGAGAGCAGTTGCCCTCAAATTGAGTAAACAAATAGTTCCTATTGAACACTCCAATGGAGAAAACTTAGATTGACTCCATTCACAGATAGTATTTAAATCCTATTTTGGTAGTTTTAATCCCCCCATCCACCAAAGATTTCCCGATGCTGTTGGAGCAATTTCCCCCCACCTGCCAACCCTCCGCCAAAAAAGCTAGGTAGTTCAAATGGTAGGAACGAGAAGGCAAGACTAAATAGAAGCCCAGCAAGCCAGATGCGATAAGCTTGATAAAAATGATGTAATATTTATAAAGCTTTTAAAACAGTTCTTGGTACTTATGTTAAATAAATAAACAAATATATTAATCAGTTCCTGAATAACCAAGAGGAGGGGAGGTAGAACACGTGAATTCCATGTTTCCCTGTCTGTCATTGAAATGTGTTTTTTAGGCCATGAGTATCTGGGTCAGCAAGTTCTTCCATGGATTACTCAGTCTACCTCCTGAGGATAAGCAGCTTTTCAGGACATTTTAAAGTTAGCACTTCGAGCTCCTTGGAGGTTTACCAATTCTTAAAGATATATTTATGAATATTTCTTTAATATAGTCAGTGACAATTGATATTTTCCTCTTCGAGCATACTTATTGGCCATATATAGCACATTTACAAATTCTTTTAAAGAATATATTTTAATATATTAAGTCTTTAAAAATATTGGGCATATATCCTTTTTAAATATAGTCGATGAATATAGTTAGTCGTTATAATCTCTTAAGAATGTAACTCCAAATACAGCATCTTTTATGGAAATTATTATAATGATATTTTGAAAATCTTGTAAAAGTCATTTATTTTGTTAACATTCTAGCATTTTTGGGATTGTTTTGACAATATTTTGAGTAATATATCAACCTTAGTTTGTTAATTTCTAAACTATTTATGAGGCTTATTGGTCGAGATGGTATTAATAGCTATTGAAGATCTGTGTCAATTTTTAGATGACTGTTTTTTCATTTTGGCTTTATAGTAGCATTTCATGAAATGTTCGTTTTGTCAAAGGTAGGCTGGAAGGACAGTATAATCTTCATATTGACGTGATATTTAAAAAAGGATATTTTATGACCAGTGACTAAAAATTTCTTTTCAACAAATCTGATACCCATTCATTGTATAATGCTGAGGGAGGATGCACAGCAATCATACCAATATGGAATGCGGAAATACAGTTGCTAGTTGAGACAAGTACAAAATTAAGGCTAATATGCCATTTGAGGCTTTAATGAAAGAACAGTAAAAAAGCCTAAAGATTAAAAAAATAATTAAAACTGAAATTTCAGCAAATGGCAGAAACAGTCTTGACACAAATGCCGAAATATAGAATCTCAATTATTAGAAATGCACAAGTGAGGCTGATACGAATGAGTATATTTATAAGAAAGTATATCTATATTTAATGAGTGTATTCAAGAAGAATAGATTTATCAATATATCATAAGCACTTGTGCAAATTGCATATATATCAAATTGGTTATTTGGCACGTTCTTTCCTTCTGAATTGGTGCTTGGTAAATTGGCCCCGTGTCATCAGTTAGGTTCTGGCTGCCCCACTTCTGATGAATGGCCTGCTTTGGAAAGTGAAGGGCTCTATATGACTGGCTCAGTGACTGCTCAGCTCCTGTACTCCTTTTGGTCAACACAGAAGGGGGTGAGCATGAGAGCCTGTGCCTACAGCCAGGAGAGGATTGTCCCTTTGAGACGGCAGGCTCAGAATCAAGGGAAGCATCTGCAGAGGCTCTTTTCTCAGAGGGAAGGAAGGATCTTGTCCAGCGTGATTCTCCTGTGCCACTCACCTTGGTCTTACGTAGCATACCACAAGAAATACCAAACATACTCCACAAAGCACAGCGACCGGTACAGAGATTGCCACTGTAAAACAAGAGAACTAAGCTGGGATCATGCTAAAAGTCCTGGGAGCGGATTCATTTCTAAGAATCTGAAAATCCTTTACAATTTACATTCCTGCAGAGAGATCCAAACACCTTCCCAACCAGCTCACTGTTGTTAACATTTCTTAAGGTCCATGCAATTCAATCTATTCTACAGCTGGGCAAAAACACACCCCCTTCCCACCAACATTGCCAGTTGAAACATGCCCCCGTTCATGTTATCCCATGCCCCCTGTCCCTAATCCTTGTCCTTCCTGAGCAAAGTGACACGTTGATGAGCAGGGATGGGAGTAAGTCAGGAAGGAACAGTAAGAGCCTCAGAGATCAGAAGCTAAGTGGAAGCATGAGGACGAGGAGGCCAGCACTGGGCAGGAAGAAATACCTGCTGCTAAATCTGAAGTCAAGAACACAGACGGGCAAGGGTCCCCAGTTGTCCTTGGTCACAACTTGCCCCTTTTCTGCAGCTTCGCAGAATCCTGATTTAGAAACAATAGCGTGCAGTGCCATTTTACTTCCGGTTTCATCACGACTATTTGTTTATTCACTACTTTTGATGGCAGAGGAAGAGTGGCAAGCGGAAAGCAGAGGTGTTATAAAAGAGGTCTCACAGATAAGAGGAGAATGAGGTAATGCTTAGGAAAAGAAAAAGACATGCTTGGACTGAGTTGAAAGGAACCACATGGAGGAGTGGTGGGAGGAGTTAAGGATGGGAGGCCAGCAGCCATGACAGCATTTGAGATTTATTAGACAGGAAGAGTGGGACCTTCATGGGGCAGCAAGAGGGCTTATCCCGAGGACAGGGTGAACATAACTGTTTTTTAAACACTTGCATCAATGATAAGTTCCAAGCAGATTTGCCTTCATATTGTGAAATCTTCCTGCAAAAATTACCTCCCTGCATCATGACGTTCAGGATGACAGCCCTGAACATGTGGGAGCCAGTTGTCTCGCTGTGGACCCTAAGTCACACATGTATCCTAGACTGCTAAACTTTCGAGACCAGACTTCTATGCAAAGATGAAGTCTCATGGCTTGGCCTTCAAAATACAACCCTATTGAAAAGCAGCAAAATATACAGATGTGGGGAGATAGCCAGATTCTCCACTGGGTAGGAGTATAAATGGGTATGGTTTTTCTCAAGGGTGATTGGCAATGTAGCAAAAGCTGTGGGAGGACAAGACCCTTTGACTCTCTAATTCTACTTCTAGGGATTTATTCTAAGGAAATGGAAAAATATTTATAGGAATATTCACTGAAGTATTATTTAAAATAATTTTTAAATGTTAACCTAAATCTCATCAATAGAAAATTCGTTGAAATGTGGTACACCTATACAATGGAATATTATTTAGCTCTTAAAAATTATGAAATAGGACCAGCCGAGTGGCGCAATGGTTAAGAACTGGCCTGGGATGCCAGAGGGCCCCGGTTCGGATCCCACATATGAGGGCCAGTGACACTGCCCTCCACAGCTAAGATGCTGAACAACAGCTCAACCTGGAGCTGGGCTGCCGTGAGTGGCCGGTGACGGCGTAGGCTGCGGCCCATGTGGCAGTGGGTTGCCGTGGGCTACCGTGTGTAGCCAGCAGCCAGCATGAGCGGCCAGCAGCCGCCGTGAGCAGCTGTCCAGAAGCCGGCGACTGATCTGCCTCTCCCGGGAAGAGTGCAATGATGGTGCAACTTGGGCCAGTGAAGCAACGTCCTCCACAACTAGACTGAAGAACAAAAAGGACAGCAACTTGCCTGTTCCCCTTCCCCCAATTCCCCAATAAAAATCTTAAAAAAAAAAACCCCAAATCCACAAACTACCTGTGCCTAAGTAAATAAAAATAAGCATAGAAAAGTGGTTCCAAAAGAAGTAACAGGAAACATGGGACATTAATGAAAGACGTTTCGAATTTTTAAACTTAACATTAATCATCAGTATGACTAAAAATCGGATTTTGTTTGGATTTTTTTTTTTTTTTAGCAGAGAGGTGGTGGCCTGTTGTAAATTATTTCTTCACATTGACTCATCAGCTTGGCATGCATTTACTGTTCATGGATAGATTTATTGGAAAAGGCAACTTGATGGAGTTGTACTTTCACAATGCTTCTTCCTGTTTCTTTTTCATGAGAATGAAAAACTGCAGACTCTGAACTCAAGTAAGAAGAGGGCTCCTGAGCCAATGATACAAACAAAGCAATTTGAACTCAGTGACTTAACCCTTGGCCTCCTCTTCAATTACATCCAGACAAACGTAGTAAAGAAATTGAAACCAGAATCACTAAAACAATGGATTACATATCTACTGCCAAAAGTTCTCCACCCTACTATGTTTCCTAGGGGGTGCATGGATTAGAGAAAAAGGAAGAGAAAGAGTTTTGGGGAGATAGGGGAGGAGAGAGGAGGGTTAGCGTCTGGGCTAGCGAGGAGAAAAAGTGGATTTTTGCATAAGAAACCAGAAAAGCTGGAAGCTGCTTGCCTTGGGTTCAACCCAGAGTGCATGTTGGGTTTGAGGCGGAGAAGGCCGCCTGGACAGCTAGTGGCCACTATTCGATGTGGATGATGAGATGTCCTCTGTGAATATATAGGGACTCCGTCAGCCCTTAGCAATACCTACAGACTGGGTCAGTCAGGGAGTGGTACGTATTCCTGATGTCGCCATGACCAGAGTGCTTGTGTGCTGGTGTCCAATGAGGGCAGTTTTTAAGTAAGAACGTCGATTCATTATTCCTGGGCAGTGGTTTATTTTCTGCCTCTCACTGTACTAAGCATGTCGTAAGTGTTGGGTTCAATACTTAATTCATCGAATTAAACTGTTAACATCTCATAAGTTGAAGTACATACGGGGGTGCCAAAAAAATGTATACACATGACTGTGTTCATCTTTTGTTATCAGTATATATTATTACAATTTTAATACAGTTTTTTTTCCTTTCTTAAAATTTGTATACATTTCTTTGGCACCCTCTGTATATTTAAAGTGCTATTTGCTTTTGAATGAGAAACCTGCATTTCATTGCAAACTTAGGACCATACCGGGCACAAAGAAGGAACTCAATTTATATTGATTGAACAGATGAACGATACAGAGGTAGCTCCTGTTAAGGGCTGAGAATATCGATGACAGTAAATTTATTTCAGATGTGAAAGACTAGAGTATAATACATTCTGAAAAGTGAACTCTTTACTCCTGGTGTACTCAATGAATGTGGCCATATATACACTGTCGGAAGTGACACTGGACCTTTTATTTTACAGTTGAGACTCTTCAAGAATAGCTTAGTCAAGGTTTAGAGACCAGATATTGGAATAATTGAATCAAGTTATTGATTAAAAGGGCTGCCAAGTGAGTCAGGAGATATTTAAGACAATGAAATGATGAGCCACACTTACTGAATATTTAAATGGTAAAGCCCCCAAATTTATTCAGCTGTTTGCTCATTCAGTATTTATTGAGCATGTACTATATACCATTTTCTGTTGAACTAAAAGCAGCAACTTTTAAAAGTTGTGATGTCTTTTATAACTATTGGGCTGTCGGAAAAGTTAGGAGTATTTTTTTATGTTTTTTGTTGCAATAATGCGTCATGATTTTTCTGACAACCCAATATATAAAAAAAAATGATGATGTTGGTAATATCAATGGGCTCATTAAAACATTAACATTTACTGAGCAAACCACTACAGTAAAGAAATTTATATTTTCTTACAAAGATGAGCTCAACTGATTGCTTCTTCTGTGATAATAGCAACACCCTCTGATGCCCAGGGAGCCAGCAAGTACCTCTGCCCCCTGTACCAGACAGGAGCCTACTCATAGGTCTCTCAGGTGGCTGGGATCACATATGACATATACTTTGGAGGCACTATCACTAAGTGTTTTTAGAAAATTAGCATGATTTTCATCTTAGTTTCCACGTTCTTAGCAGATGAAACTCAAATAATACATAATGAAGTATATCTAGTTTTCATCTCTTGGTTGACAATTACTTGTTCTGTCTTATAGTTAGTTGTTATCATGCCTATCTGTATATTTAAGCAGCCTGAAAGAAAATCTTACCCAAACAATATGAAAGGTTCAAAGTTTTTTTTTTTTAAATCTGTATTTTCACAGTTCCTTGCACATAGGTATGTTTGTCTATTGTAGGTGTTCAGTTAATGTTTATTATATTACATTTCGCAATCTGGGAGTGAGTTTCTGACATTTTAATGCAGTGAAAGACATAAATTGGAAAAAACAGATGATAGATTATAGCCCATAATAAAGTAGTTTGAAAATCTGTAGAAAATATGGCCCCAAAGTTTTATGTGTAGAATTTTATCCTACAGATGTAGTTGGACATATGCAAAATGATATAAGGTTCTCCAATTGATCATTGTTTGTAATATAGCCAAAGGATATAAGCAGTCGTGTGTCCAAATAGGGGTTTGGCTAAATAAATTGTGGCAAATCCATATAATGGAATATTCTGAAGCTGTTAAAAAGAATGGGGTGGTTTTTAATGTGTTGATATGGAAGGATCTACAAGATATACCATTAAGTGAAAACAAACAAGGGTCAGAACAGTGAAAATAAAATACCTTGGTGTGTAGCATCACATACCCTCTATGTGCTGTTTACATCAAGCAAAGTGCTGGGACAATGGGAAATACTTACCAGCGACAGTTCTGGAATCGTGTGAATATGCACCTGCAGAGAAGAGATGGCAGCTCAGTTATGGCTGTCGTCCTAACGGCACTAATTTCTCATTAAGCAGGAGACATTCTGGACAGTTTGGTTCCTGTCTTAAAGCCTTGAGAGATTCCCAGCTGGAAAAAGCCAACTCGTTTTAGCAAAGAACAAGCAATGTCATTCATTTAGATGCTGGGCCATGCTTAAGGACTGGCCCTTACAGAAAATGCAGATTACCGAGAGCTCCTACATCCCGTAGACTGTGGCTCCAGGTTATGGAAAGCTTCCTCCGTCCTCCCATAGTGAGAGGAGGCAGATATTATTCAGAGTCTTGGCAAAGCAGGTTAATTCGATGAGCCTGGTCACATCTGGGAGACGGACTCTCTTTTGTAGCTGGACGGAGCCAGGGCGGAGCACAGAGAACAGAGACCAGAGCAAGGAGGCTGCGGCAGAGAGCAGGCGTGGCGCGTCAGGAAGGTGTCCTGATTGGGGATTAGAGGGTGTAATGCCAAGCAGGGAGACAGCTGCCCTCTCCTGCAGGATGCAAAGCCAGAGCTGACCTGGCTTCTCGAGCGAGGAAGAGGGAGTGTGTTCCAAGGCCTTTGCTGTTGTCTGAGATGGGACTTGGGAGGGCTCATTCCTGACTACCCCTGTGGTTCCTGCAGAAGGAGGTTGGGATGGCGTCAGCCTGGAGCCTGGTACAATAGCTGGCTTTGTGGCCACTGTGGTGTCTGACTTGGAAGTGAAAGCTGGCTCTGTAGGAAGGTGCAACACATGGAGAACATAAATGTTTAGAATAGTCTCTTTCTTATCGCCAGTAGTAAACTGACACCCCCTAATGAGCCCGCCCTGGGCCAGCCCTCCCCCAGCACACTGCTCCACGGCTCTTTAGGAAAATCCCTTCAGTGTGTCACATAATCAGTCACCCATCTGGAATGGCCACGAGACTTTTGAAGGCTGGAGGAGTTATAGTTATTTGTCACAGTGCACATAAGATTAGAGTAGGTCCAGGCTTGTTTTAGAGAAGACTGATGTAAAATAAATAAATAAATAAATAAATAAATAAATAAATAAATAAATAAATAAACAAACCCGAGTAGAACTGTATTTGCCAAAGACATGTGGGACGCTGACTTTGGTTTATATTTTACATGTTTGCACAAAACTTCTAAGTCAGGGAAGTCTGAGATTTGGCCCGTCTGAGCTACGTGTGTATTTGAAGAGAGCCCTGGTTTGGCCCCAGCCTCAGCATCTCAGCACATGCGCTCCCAGACACATATGCTGTGAGAAGTCCTTGTGCCTTTTAATCCTTTGCCACTGACTCACATACATCTATCTCTCACTACCCAGGCTGCCAGCACTCCGGGCACTCTGCAGAGAGTTCCCCCAGAGCATGCCCCCATGGCCACATGTGTCACTCTGTGCCAGAGATGACAACATGTGTCACTCTGTGCCAGAGATGACACTGTCATGTCTGAGATGACGACTGTGCAGTTCGGTCTGACCAAGTGTTTGGCACACGACGACAGGGCTGGGAGAGGCCCCATGATTATTCCCAGCTATTGGGTGAACCAGGTGTGATTCAGATCAAAGGAGTTTTAGAATTACCCCGAACTTACATATAGCCAGTACCTCAACCCCTCAACCTCTTCCTTCTGTTAGTAGCCAGCTAACTAACCAGGAGGGAACCTTTTTCTGGCCTCTCCATCCTCCCCTCAGCAGTGGTCCTCAGCTTTTGGGGAGCTTCTAGAACCCTGATTCCCAGATTGCTGTCCAGGGTTCCAAGGTGATCTCAGTGGACAGCCAAGGTTAGGAACCAGTGCTCTAGGGAAGGTGTGCCTGGGCAGTGCAGTCAAAGGTAACGGAGTGCCTGTGCCTGGAGAGAAAGGAGGAGACAAGGGCCAGGAAAAGCCACACACTGGATACCAGGACACCAAAGGATCAAGAGTTAAGTGTAAAGGAAGGGTATCCTACAATCCATGGCACATTGGCCCACGATAGTTAGCGTCCAAGATTTTGGATTTGCTTAACTT